GTCAGTCCTGGCCTGGCGGCCTGGCACAGCTGTGCGGCAAGGGGCTGGGGGGGCTCCTGGAGCGGGGTCTGCGCAGGTTCCTCAGTAAAGCCACCCTCTTTGGGGGAAAAGAAACCAGATTCGGTTAGAATTCCTTTCCTGAGGTATTAACAAGTTTTAAAATGTTTCCTTCTTTGTACAATAACGGCTATTTGGCCTGGAAGCAGGATGCAGGGTTCAACAGTGTGTCAGTCAAGTGTCCCCGCTCCCGCTGGTTAGGTAGGACGTGGGGTTTGTTCGGGTTTTTGTATCTTGCTCCCGTGTAACGCTTTGCTAAACGTACTTCGGCAGAATCCGTGGGCTCTGGGAACGCTGTCTGTGGAAGCTGGAGATGCGTGAATACTTGGTGCATATTGGTTTTCTGTATCAGGATGTTAAAGGTGTAAGGCGCTATGTGGGAGTGAACAAATTTTTTTTTAATTTCTAGGTTTCTAATGAAGCTGAGCCATGAGACTGTGACCATTGAGCTGAAGAATGGGACACAGGTGCATGGAACTATCACAGGTATGGCGGGGTGGGAGGCTACAGCAAAGTACTGCCTGTTACCTTTCTGCTAACAACGGGCAGCCGTGGTTTGGGCCGAGCTTTTTTGTTTTGTACTCCCTCTTGTGGGGACCTTCTCCTTCTATTACAATACGCAGGAGATGTTCTTTTTAATTCACATCTTTACGTGCAAGCTTGAGGTGTGTTTGTTGCAGGAGAGTCTGGACAGTTGCAGAAGTTGCTGGGAGGCGATAAATTCGCTGTAGTCCTGGGAGCCTCTGAGCCTGACTGCAGGCTTTGCTTACAAACAGGCTTGGGGGTGAAGGAAGTAAATTCTTCCAAACCGTTGGCGAAGCTGGTGTAAGCATGATATTCTCTTAGAATTTTAGCAGTATGATAATGCTGGTGAGGTAGTTTTACTACCATATCAAACTAGCAGTGGATAGACAGCTAAATTGTTATAAGATTTTTCAGTACATCTGACTTTCATTTGTGAAATTGTAATAAGCTATGGTCACATAAAAACGTTACAGCTGAATTGTCAGAAGAGGGGGGACTTTTTTTAACGGTGGTACAGATAAATGGCCAATGTTAAGTGTTGATATGGTCTTAAATCGGTTAAACTTTCTGTGTAGGCAATTTTAATCTAAAAATTAATTATTTCTGTTGAGCGTGTTTTAGCTCTGCTTAAGGTGAACTTACATGGAAATGCATCTTTGCATATACTTGCATTGATTTCATGGAACTGATTTGAAAACATAGCTTGATGGGGGATACAGGGCAAAAAGGAATCCTGGTGTCGAGAACCTGGTCCCCTGCTGTTGCCAAAGGTCTGTCATGTAAGTTTGTGGGCGTTAATTGTCTAGGAGGTGCTTTTTTGTATCACTGAACTGGTAGTTGCGGGAAAAGCCTCGGTGGTTCATTATACGGTTTTCATATGTATTGAAAAATGTGCGGACTATTCTGTTTCCTTTAGTAACATTAGTGAAGGATATTGTTCTGCGAACATTCACGTTGGCATTACTTTAGAGAGGATCAGGTATGTGGGTGGGGCACATCGTATTTAATGAAGCAAACCCTTACAGTTAAGTTGATGAACATGCTTGATCTCCTTTCCTTCGCTCACCCCAGGCTACTTTTAGAAGCTCTTCTGCCCAGACACTGTTAAAAAACGTAAAATTCAAACTTGGCAGAGTTGTATTCCAGGGGATTGCTTAGGTGCTTTTTTGGCCGGTAGCAATCTGCTGAGATTTGGCAGTTAAAAAATGGCATTATTTTGCAGCCGGATCCATCAGCTTTGATTAGGCCTGAATGCACCACCCTGGTATCTGATTGCAGCATGCTCTGTTGGACCCAGCTAGGTAGGAAGCAAACAAACTGTTCGTCTCCTGACCTCGGTGCTCTTGCAGGCTTGATTGTTGAGCAAAGTCTCTCTCATTTTCTGCTAAGAATCTGTAAAAACTTTGAATGCAATCCATATATTTCTAAAATGACAATCTTCCCTTTACACTGGTGCGTGAACTATGTTGATAATTGCTGTGCGGTCTGCAAATTGTACAATCTCCTCTTCCTCTCGGTGTGTCGGTTGGTCAGAGCAGGCATGCTGAAGGGGCGGGTGTCATGTAATGCATACCTTACACAAACTAAGGGGGCAGGTCAGGTGGAGTGCAGGTGTCGGAGAACTGTGCAAAACCTAGAAGTAAGGGAAGAGGACAGAAAAATGTATGGAATGAGCGCAGCACAATAGTTCTTCTGGTTCTGGCCTGCTACTCGCTTACATTATTTACCTTGGTAAGACATCCGACAGTTTGTCTTTCTGTGTTGATGAAACGAGACAGTAATTATTTTTACCGCAAAGGGTTGTTTGTACAGAAGTTTGAACACGCAAAAGACTTTGCTCATGTGGGTGCCCTGTCAGTGAATTAGCAGGTGTTTGTAAACTACAATTTCCATCTTTTGCCTAAATTTTTGATCTGAAAAAGTTACTCTCATTTTGATCTTCATAGTTTGAGATCACATCCCGTGCAAGACTTGTGATATGCAAAATAAAAATTAACGTAGGACGCTTTTTAATGCTTTTTAGGGCTGTTATTCAATACAGGCATTCAGCTGAGACTGTTTTCCTAGTTTTGGATTATGCTTAGCACTGCGTAGTGGGCACAGTACTGATTCCATACAATTCTTACATACTGGCTGTTCATGGAGTTTGTAACCACAATGATTGTTCCTTGCAGTAGTGTATTTTATGTACTTTCATAGAAGATACCACACTAGTATTAGATATATTTTATCAGAAAACGAGTGCTTCTTTGGCAGTTGGACTTTTTCTAAGGCTTACAGAAAGAGGAAATTATCAAGTTATTTTTCCTCCTCAAAGGTTTGGTTTTGCTTCTTTTTAAAAGAGTCAGAAGACTAGCATTGGACTTCTGTAATAAGCAGCAGTTTATTTGTTATTCAAAGGAATTGTTTTAACCATTTACGGAATCGCTACGGCTGTCGCTAAGACCTAGCTAAAGATCTCTAGCAGTGAGGTGTTGAAGGCAGCAACTGATAAATTAGCGAGCATAATTTAAGAGAGAAAAAGATGTGGTTTCCTTCAGTTAGAGGCTTAATTAACAAATGGGAGAAGCAGGTGTTAATGAACAGGATAAATCTTGAAGCATGTGCATACTTAAAAATAGCCAACAAGGGACCATCTTACAGGCGTTCGTCCCTGAAGTTAGACTTGTGTTGTTTCAGGAGTGGATGTCAGTATGAATACGCATCTCAAAGCAGTGAAAATGACGCTGAAGAACAGAGAACCGGTACAACTGGAGACGCTGAGCATTCGAGGGAATAACATCCGATACTTCATTCTGCCAGACAGTTTGCCTCTGGATACTTTGCTAGTGGATGTTGAACCAAAAGTCAAATCCAAGAAAAGAGAAGCAGGTTAGTGTGTGCTTTCCCAGTCTGTGTTTGTTCTGTATGCCTTTGTATGCATTTTAGTACTCTGAATCTGAAGACATCTGATTTGAGTGTCTTAATATCTGCGTTTGGCAGCTAGTTCTTTCATCTTTGAGGGTTTGATACTGAATTGGCTCAGTCTGCTTTGTCCACCTTCTTAGCATCTGTAGAGTTTTCTTTCATGTGAAATTATGTGTATGGCTTTTCATATATCTGTTTTTAAAAATGTAAATGTTTTTAAGCTTGAGTAAATCTTAACCTGTCACAGTCTTAGAGTTGACACCAAAGAGATTTACACTTCCTCTTCTCCGAATGTCTGCTGTGTTTCCCCAGTTTGTACGGGGAACTTCACATAGCCTAATGAGAAAGTACAGAACAGCCTCTTGAACAGTGCTGAATGCTTCACTGGAATCTCACTTGGTAGTGGATAAAAATAATCTGTCAGAGAACTGAATTTGAGACTTGAGAATCTGAGGGAGTCTAGGCTGTATTCCGATGAGCAGCGCTCTAGCTTTGGCTCCCAGTAGTGTTCCACTCTGTGCTCTTCCTGGAACTTTTTTTTCAAAAGGCTGTTGAAGAAAAACCTTTTCCTTAGAAGCCTAACAGTATAGAGAGTAATTCAGTTTTAATCCACACTGTTAAAGATTAATATCCAGTAAACCCCAGGAAATCTGTAGGTTGTCTTCAGGCAGTATATATTTTGCCCAGTGGCTAATCTGCATGTTTTTAAAATAATAAGCTTGAAGTGAAAGCTAATTGTGCTCTAAAATAATGTTGTACCATTTCTCCTGTAATTAGTGTTTAAGTATTTGGATCTGCGGTCTTTGATCCATGTGTACGTTATGAATTGGTGTGCTTACCTTATTGAAATGGTGTAAGGAACCCTCAGCTGTGTGCATCACAAAGTGCAAGTGTTACGGCTGCTGTCTTTATAGAGAATAAGGATAAAGCTCCTGAAAGTGTTTTGCTCCTCTCATGTCCATTAAAAATAATCTGACCACATGGAGAAATTGGAGTGTGGTTGGATTGCTTTTTTTCTGAACCTCACGATGTGATGTGAGCAAGAACGTGACTATTTCTTTTTAACTTTGAAGAAAGAAAGGGAGCTGTGATAGCGCTGTTTACCTCGGTTCAATACTCCTTGCATCTTCCCTGTACTGAAGCACTCTCAGACCGCAGCTGCGTTGTGCTGCACTTTCCCTTAATCTGTAAACGCCCTTGGGCTTCAAGAGCTTGTAACACGTGATCTGTTATAATAATGTTATAATGAACACATGAAACAAATGAAACTGTGGGTGGAAGGCAGGATGCTGGCTGAGAGATGTACGTGACACGCGTGCCTTGGGTCTGAGTGTGCTGGCACTTAGTGAACACGACTATCTACTGATGCATGTAGGTGCTGTAATCATTTAGTCAGGTGTTGATGCTTCCGTCTGTTTTTCAAAGAGTCAAACCATTACCGGCAAAACAAGTGACACCTTCCTTCTCACAGATTTGTCCTGTGCCTCTGCTCTTTCTGTCTTCACTGTGTTTCTAACCTACGTACCCTCAGATGGAACAGAATAATTGTTAGAGCCTGCTTCTTGAATGTGGATGCTACTGGGTGTCTCTTGCCCGGCCACCCACTTCCACAGAATTTTAAGTTTCTTGGTATCTTTTTGAGCCTTACGCTGACAAACTTGTTTGAAATTAACCAGTAATTTCAAAAGTTTGTAGGGTGGCCTTGCAACCTGGTGGGGGACATCGTATTTCTTTAGGAAAAAGGGGTGAAATGACATGTGATCATCATATGGATCATATGACCTCCAGCAGTTGCTTGCAGCCTGAATTACTCTGTGATTCTGCCTTCCCTTTACCATTAAAGAGCAGTATTTAAAAGTAGGAGCACACAGCCAAGACCTTGGCCTGAGAATCATGTTTGAAATTGGCAGAGGCATCACTGAAAACAGCAGGAGCTGCGTGGTGCTGGGATCCTTTCAAAATGCTGCCCTTTCACATGGTGCCTGGGAAAGGGTGAGCCTGGGAATCTCACAGCGTGATAAAACTCGCTTTTCCCTTTAGCAGCATACCTCATAAACCACAATGCGAGCTGTGGCCAGAAAAAATCTTTTCCACTGTAATGAATAGTAAACAAAATACTCTGTCTTGCAAATGCTTTTTCTGATGCCTGAAAAACTAGATTTTATCAAAAAAAAAGAGGAGGAATCATAGTTCTCTGTCAGACTTACCCTAGCATTTGGGAGCAGCCAACTGTTACATCCCTTTGTTTTCTGCAGTGAAGCCAAAGACACATAGTCTGTGGAAGCTGTATACTGAAAAACCTAATATAAAAGATGAAAATATTGTCTGAAACTTACTGAATTAACAGACTTGATAGCTGACTTACTGCTTCCCTGCAATGAGACGTTATGTTGTTTTATGCTTTTGATGCAGAATGTTTTAATCAAAATGAAAGTATTCCTGGGTCTCACTTGATTTATCCTTTTTGTTTCATCTGCTAAGTTGCTGGGAGAGGCCGTGGCAGAGGCCGTGGGAGAGGCCGAGGTCGTGGAAGAGGAAGAGGGGGCCCAAGACGATAATTTCTCATCGTGCAACAATTTCCGAATTCTGGGCAATTACAGATAAATACAAACCGGCTCTTTTTTTGTACAGGTCTTGTTTATGGTGTCCATTTTTAATAAACTGAAATGTGAAAAAGTTGTCTTCCCTTTGTTAGTGGAGTCTGGGGAGGGAGGCATGTCCTATTTCTAGAGGCTGTTGCAGACTAAGCATGTCTGGTTGGTGTTGGTTGTCATTGTCGAGACTTCACCCACCCCTGAAGGCTGTACAATTACCTCCTGCTTTTTGCCCCAAGCAAGAGACTTCGTGTTGGTGTGCTTTAACAATGTTTGTTTGGAATTAATTCCCCTTTTATAAGGCACTTGCCACTTCTAATGGTTACGCAGTTAAGATACTGTATTAAGAACCTGCATCCCATGAGTGTGTGTCTAATGTCGTTCTTCAGAGCGACCTCTTTAAAGTTTGTAGATACAATTGTACTGTTTTCTATTATATGAAGCTTACAACTTAAACATGTTGCTTTCCTTATAAAACGTTCACATAGGGAAATTAACCAGGTCTGTGGAACTGCTGGATTGTTACATCTCATGATTAAAGTATACCTGGATATGAACTTTGGCACAGCTAATTATATGGCATACTTTTGTTTGGGTGGGGGTTGTAAAGCAGCTTTATCACAGATTTCTTCTAGTGTACTTAAAGTGCATCCCTAGAAAGTACGAAGTACAGCACGGAGCACAATTACATGCTGGAATTGGAAGTTTACTTCTGGAGATGAGAGAACGTCTGCAGCTCATATATATATATATATATATATATATATATATATATATATATATATATATATATATATATATATATATATATATATATATATATATATATATATATATATATATATATATATATATATATATATATATATATATATATATATATATATAAAAAACCTGCTTTGCTGGACACAAGTATGAAAGAAGCAGTGTTGGCCACATTCATCTCGAATACCACCCTACTGACTTTTCCCTTGTAGGAAAGGGATTATCGCATTCGCACTGCAAGACTTCAACAGTTTCATCTGTTGATGAAATACAGATGTAATTTCAAATAACGTGCATGTAATTTCAAATAACGTGCATGCTTAAGCGTGGCTTTCCTGAATGGTAAGGGTACTTGCTGGTAATTTGGTGCAGGAACATGCTCGGTTGGTTGCTCGTGTTTCCACATAGGCAGTGCTACAACAGAGTGGAAGAGAATTACCTAATGCGTAATGGGTTGATACGCTGGTTAATTTGCGCTAGCTAGCATTTTGGAACTGCCCTTCTGTTTTTCCCTCTCTTACAGAGGCCATTTTAAAGCTTCATCTTGTTACAGAAGAGCTTTTTTCTTCCAAACCATTGTGGAACCTCCTAAGAGCACTTTTTGGTCAATATAGCACCCACGATTCTCAACTCTATAAATAGCTGCTACAAGTAATGGTTGCTGCTGTCTTCCAGAAGTGCCTGGTCACTGCCAGGGATGGTACGGTCTTCCCAAATCCAGCTGTCAGCGTTCATGCAACGGTTGAAACGCTTTCCCTCTTCAGTCTCTTCCTTACAAAAGTTGATAGTGCCCCCAGGGGTATGCACATGGTGGACGCCGCCACCAGCAGCCCGATCACCGCTAGGGCGTAGCCTGGGTAATCCTTTGTCACCAGCTGCCCCTGCAAGGGAGAGAAGAAGCGTAGGATCTGTGGGATCTGGTTTTCAGCGTCCTGGAGTCGGGTCTGGAGCAAAGCTGGGTATTTAAACCGGACACCTGAGAAGCACTTGCAGGCTGCAGCAGCCTGTGACTGTCCTCAGTACAAGCTTAAAATTGACGAGAACAGAGCTGCTGACAAAAATATTGGGGAAAACTTCTGCAAGCTTTGGTAAAGAGCAGATTTTGGCTTGATGCATGTTTCTTAACGAGAAGGCTCAGCCCTGACCTCTGTCAGGTCTCTGCATTCCTCTCCTGGAGGCTGTGGGCTCATGCTGACAGTCAACAGGCCAGGCCCACCACGGGTCCCAAATCAGTGAAGACATGAAAACAACGGGTGTAACTTGTTTCTGCGTGCTAGGAACATTTCCACAAAAGGTTATGAAACCAGTGATTACTTATCTAGTAGTAATTGCCCTGTGATAAGTAACACAGTTCAGCATTCGTACAAAAGCATTTTAGCCATGAAGAAAAACATATATGGAAATTATGAAAACCAGAGTGGTTTATGAAAACTATTTATTCCAACAGCAGCTCAGTTCTGTTAAAATACCACTAATTTTGTTCAAAATACTACACTTTGAAAGTCATTTTTCTGTTCAAAGAGTATTTTTTAAGATGATATGTGGGTCTTCAATCAACATGAATAAAATTTTACTGTTTGAAGGGATCAATTAAGAACTGTAGTGGGAAATTACTCCCATTTTACAGAACCATGGCATTGTCACTAGGTCAAGTTTTCCCTTTCCACAAAATTAAGGAGTTGCCCTGACTTCAGCTGCAAACTTTCAGAAGGCAGTTTTGTGGAACCGGGTAGTTAGGAAGGAAGACTCTGTCCTTGCAGGAATTAAGGAAAGTTTGAAAAAAACCACCCTGAACCAGAACTATTTTACCTGTGTGGCATCCCATGCTTGGTATTGCAGCGTTCCTGTGAGGATATAGTCGGTGAGGTAAAATATAAATAGGCTTATAATTAGCAAAGGACTAGCACAAGCCCACATAATTTTCCAATACCAGTTTGGCTTGCGTCCAATCATGGTGTGAAGATCTTTCTCAAATCTGTGTTTAAGAAAAAAACAAGCATACATATTTTTGAGAACACCTGTATATGTTCAATCGATACCTTGATCTGAGTTACTTCAAAACCACCTACAGAATTAAATATGTAAGATGGGAAAGGGGAGTATAGTTGACCAGAAGAGTAAAGAGCAGAGAGGTATTGTCTGAAGAACTGGCTTACCAGGATTATATATAGAGGTTGAAATAAAAAAGATAGCAGGGCTTCCGAGAGGATCCCAAACTGTGGAAGAGTAGCTAGGAATAGGTGCAGCAGGAAAAGTCCCAACAAAATTCTGCCTGGAGTGTAAGTTCAGACCATTATTGGTGTAAGCTGACGGAGAAAAGCGATTATGCTTAAGTAACGTGGAGAAAACACTGCTTGTTTTTGTGTAGTTGAGTTGTTCTCACCGCTGTTACGCGACTGTCTTTGAGGAAGAACTAATGCTGGGGATAGTACCTAAAATCACACAGGAAACCTGGATCTGACTTGAAGGCTTTGAACTCATCGAGGACGTGATACCAATGTAGGTGCCCGTACACGTACTGTGCTAGCGGACTAACAAAGCAAATACTGAAGCCTTTTCCTTTAGATGCCCTGAGCGCAAACACCTCTGCTGTGGTGTTTGCATCAGCTTTCCTGATGCTGAATCTTGCTTTTACCTGCAAGGGATGACTTAGGAGACCAGCGAAGTGCAAGGTTTGAAAGCAGACTTACCGGCACTGTTGTGCTCATGCTGAATTGCTGTGAAAGGAGAAGCAGAGTTTCAGCAGAAGGTGCTCTTGAGACCAAAGACAAGAAGAGCAGGGAGCAGTGTGTATGGCTCATTAGTATTCCCCTGCCTGCAGAGAAAGCATCAGCCCAGCCTGGCCCCCACACAGCCCTGAACCCGAGGCCCTGGAAGGGGTCTGCAGAGCAGGGGGCACCCCGTTGCCTTGCTGATACCATAGCGTAGGAGAAAAATTCAGGCAGAGGCGGTATTTTTATTCTGGGCCCTGCATGTCTTGGCCAGTGGTCACACCCCTGCTGTCACACTATGAAGAAAGGAGGGTTCAAGCTTTTACCTTCTTATCCCGTAGATATAACACACAGCAATGGTTTCTACCAGCACGATGAGCAGCAGTGAGAGGGTGGCTGCATAGTCATTGAATATGTCAAACCAATAATTTCCAGCCTCCATGGTGAAGATTAGGCCAATCACGCAGTTAATGAAACACACAACACCTGCGTGGATAAAATGGGGACCCTGCCGTTACACCTGGAAATTTAATTGCGCGGGGGAAATGTCGCACTTCTTGTGGCTATAAAGCTGGTGGGATTTCTACTGATTTCTGTCCGGGAGCAGCTTTCTCGGAGGAGAAAGATATTTTTTTGCCCTTTGGAAAAGGCCTGGCTGTGTGTGTGTGTAGGGGGGGTGGGTGTAGGTGGGTGTGGGTGTGTAAATGTGCTGGTGTATCCTTAAACTGCTGCTCCTTAGACCTGCACAGTCACAGCACATGACCACAGCAAAGACAACTGAGTCTTAGCTATAGCCTTGTCACGTGTGTGCGCAGCACCTGCTGTTACTGCTGGGCGTCCAGTTAAAACAGGTTTTAAGGTGGGACAACTGATTTCCACGCCCGAATGGGAGCGCATATCACTTTTGGCCAAAGACAGGGGGTTGGCAGTTGGGATAACAGTGATGTGACTGAAGAGCCACTCACTGCAGGTGTCTTGACATGTCTCCTGGCTCTTTTGAGTTTCACTGGTCAGTAGGCACCAGTCTGAAGGAGCTAGGGTGTCTTGGGAAGCCTGCACATACACAGCCACAACTGCCCTAGTGCTTTGAGAGCTTCTGAGGGAAAGTGCTGTACAGGCTGGGCAGGATTTCCCAAGGGCAGGCAAACCCTTCCGGCAGCATATTTGATATTCTGTCCTCCACCTGAGGTCAAAGAGGGACCCTCAACAGCTGTGGGACACCAAAACTTTTGCACACGTGCTCTCTCCCTGCATGGCCTATACTGCTCATGGCAGGTGCTTACCTGAGATCACCTCCTTGGGGAAATGTGCAGCAATGACCCTGCTGTCGGTCAGCGGCGTGAGGATAGCGGCGGTGTTTCCCAGCATGCTGCCGATGCCCAGCATCAGCAGCATGACAAAGTAGAGCACAGAGTACAGCTGGGGCACCTCCATGTTTTTGATTGCTTCAGAATAGACTATAAATGCCAGTCCCGTCCCCTGGACAGCCTGCCGGCAAGAAGGGGGGGAAGTGAGTTACGGGCAGCTCCTCAGCTCGATAAGGGACATAAGAATAGGGACATAGGGGGGAAGTGTTACGGGCAGCTCCTCAGCTCGATAAGGGACATAAGAATAGGGACATACGACAGGGAATATCCACAACGACAAAATACACCTGTGGTGGCGGTTCTGCACAGCAGAGGCAAGAGGCATCTTCACTGATTTATTCAAACTGGATAGAAACTGGCACAGTCCCGCTCGTAGCGAAAGCTCGATAAGGGACATAAGAATAGGGACATACGACAGGGAATAGGGATCCTCCACAACGACAAAATACACCTGTGGTGGCGGTTCTGCACAGCAGAGGCAGACGAGATCTTCACTGATTTATTCAAACTGGATAGAAACTGGCACAGTCCCGCTCGTAGCGAAAACATTTGCCCCATACCTTTGCGGCCTGCCCTGTTCCACAGCTGGAGCCAGCAGTCCGGCTGTGTCACCACCCGGCTCAGTTGCTAACGAACCAAGCGAGCGTCTTGCTGGGCTGAGCCAGTGTGCCTCCCCCCCGCCATCCCAAGGTGCAGAAA